TAATGTTAATTAATGGCCATGCAGTCCAGGAAACCCAGAACAGGGACTTAGGGTGCTAGGTGCTCCCGCCAGATGCACTAATGACCGTGTGCTCTAGTGCAAATTATACTTCTTTTTCTCACCTCTCTCCCTTTGACCATCATCTTGTTTTACACTGTCGAGGGTCCCTTCCGGGATTGTACAGTTCCCTCTGGTACTGGACATGGCCCGGAGTTACTGTGCTAGGCCTACCAGGAAAGCCGGTGTAGTTGAATCACTATCTTGTGATCTCGATTTCATGCTCCCGCATTGTTAATCCAGAATGTTTGGTGGAACATGACACMATCTTTCAAAACAGTAACACACATACACCTTCTAACCTCATCATTTGGTGATCAGCTTTGGAAAGGGTGCAAGCAGAGCTTGTCTGATCTTCCCACCACCAGAGAGGTCATCTCTTTGCTTTCTGTCATGGAAACCATCCTGACAGATGTAAATAAAGAGAAAGCGGGAAAGGGCTGGGGAATCCCATGGTTAGAATGCAAGGAATCTGCTCCCTTTTGTATAATTGCATCACACGCTGTGAGGGTGACAGCAGGAGCCGGTGGCAGCTAACGTTTCATATATCTTGCTTAAAGGACCAAAGGAAATACCATGTCAGCAGCACGAGTGATTCTTGTCACCCACGGCTGGTTGTCCTAGAGAGCGCTGAAGGACACCGAGGTGACAGGTTGGGCCTACACTCCCTGCCTGGCCTGGCTGCCTTTCCTTATGGGATGCCTGACTCTCCTCCAGGGCACCTCCCAAGGAAATGCATTTCCCCTTGGGAAACTCGGCCCTCCAAGGTGCAGTTTCCTGCTGTCTTCAGTAGACACATCTCTGAAGGCAGAAGTTATTCTATAATTTCTCTGATAAAATTCTGTGAGCAGAAACACAACAGATAAATGCCTCTCCAGGGTTTTTTATTTTGCTTTTAAGTAAGCTTTGCTTTATTTTTCTGTCAATTTACTAAAAATGAGGATATTGCATATCATCTGCTGCGAAGTATTATCTAGTTTTCTGGTGACCATTAAATACTCTTCTTTAAGCCACTTCTTATTGCAAAGCAAGCAAGTGCAATTGAAAGCAAGTGACATCAAGAACTCCAAACTATGAATAAAACCGCAGAACCTTCTATAAACATATCACTCCAAATCTCTTCTTCAGCTATACAGTTTTCTACATGGGCCTCCACATATTTTGGAAGACACAAGCTGAGACTTGTGAGCCTGCTCAAAGTGACTTGGGTTCTTACTAAAGAGATTCATTTATTGTTAGGCARTTATCATTAGGCACTTACAGTTCTTAGGCAATGCACATCACTAACACTCCTATTTCTCCTTTGTCTTATACCTCAACGTTTATGCACTCTGCTGAACAAGCATACACTGCTGTTGTATACCATTTATCAGCTTCCTTATTTCCCAGAGGTGATATGAGATGGCAGGTTGGAGAAGCACAGCATTAAGTGAGAGGCTAGAGAAAATGAGGATGATTCATAGCAGATCTCCTTGGAGTAAAAGGTCTCTGCAGGTGTCCCCAGATCCACCCCACTTCCTCTCCACACTCCAAAATCAGAGAGTCTGCAAATCGAAAGTGAGTTTGACCATCTCGACCTGTGTAAAACTGCATTACAGAGCAGAGGAAAAACTCAGCTGTAAAATCACAATGCACACATCTATGAAAAAGCATCAAGCTCTATAAATTATTAGGTTTATCTTGTCCAGTCCAATTGTACCTGCTGAATTGCTCCAAATGGATCAACATATGTGGGAGCTACAGGTCACTGTGGGGACACCAACACCATGGGCAGGTCATAGCTCAAGCACAGGATCATGATAAAGCAGTTCTGCAACTTTATGGTGAAAGATAAATARATTTTGGTTCTGACAGCTGCTGTTCCTGAACTGTGAGCAAGAAAAGAGATAGCATGGACATCATAGAAGGTTGGAGCTCCTTCTCACAGACCTTCACCACCAACATGGGACAGTTTACATTGCATGGGTCTCTTTTACCAGAGCCACCAAGGCAGATCTCCAGGCACTCTTTTTATGTGCCATATGACTGGGAGTAGGATACTAAGGATTCCCTTACCTCCTGGTTGGGAATATTCTCTGCAAGACTCTACAAGGGAAGTGCAGAAAAGACAATAACAAAACTCTATGACATCAGTGGCCCAAATTAGCTCTTAATATTAAAGGATGAGTAGGCATTTTCTACACTTCCAGTCTTGGAATATCTCAAAGATGCTTCGAGCACAARTATTTCTTTCCTTCAGTAGGCACTGCAACATAACTGATGTTGTAACTCTGGGTCTCCTGCTGAAGAGGGTGGAAAGCACACAGCAAAGTTTAAAAAGCAAACATKGCCTGCCTTTCAGCACAGCTTTAACTTGTTCTTCTGATCTCTCTATTTTCATTTAATTTGATTCAAAAGCTAATGAGAGACTAACCAGCTTGGAACAGAAATCTTTGTCCAAACGTCCAAGCTCAGTTTTTGAAAAGCTTCCACTGAAACTGATATTGCGGTGTTGGAATAACCAAAATGTGCAGCTTGGGGTCACTGCCTYCGTGTCTCAGTCATGATGTCCCAAGTGGTTTGCATCTTATTTTAGGCCAAAGCAAGTAACTAGAGCAAGGGATCCTGGCACTTGACCTACTAGGGCTGCAATGGTAGTGAATGGTTGTGTCAGTGTAACTAACCTTCACTTTTGTCCTTTTAACACAGAAACAATGTCCAGATTGGACATTTACAGGGGAGAAAGCCTTTAAACAAGAATTAACCATTACTCAGGTAATGTTTGCATTAAATAGTTTTAATAACTGCCACTTACATTCCTTCCATTCCACTCTCCAGAAAGGCAATAAAATTTCTGCAATCTGGGCTTGATTAGACACGGTGTTTTTATATATTTAATTGCAAAAGATTTGGTTTAGCTGAGTTTTTATATCACTGCAAATCAGAACACGCACACAATAGTCCTGTCTATAGTAGCCACACAACTGACTCTAAAAACCACAAAAGCACACACAACTTTCCTGTCTAAAGCTTTYCAGTTTTCCTGCACGCACGCATTTCCTACCGGCTCGCTCCAGGCAGTTTGCCATTGAGCTTGTGGAGTTCCTGGCTTACCCTTTGGAGAGGCCTCATCCCCTCCAACATTAATAGAGGGGCCAAGAGATCCGACTCTGGCATTCAGACTCACCCCAYTGTGGCCAGGCACTGCACACGGAGATATCAAATCCAGATTTAGGGGCACCAAAGAGGTATCATGGATCTCCCCCACAGAGACTCAGGAATTTGCCTGAGGTCCTCTAAGAAATTTGCAGCAGAGCGGAGCATGTCACCTCCCTCCCTAGCAGGTCTGCACCCAAAAAAAGCACAAATAGGAATGTTCTGGTCTCAGCCACATAGAAAATTTACTGCTAGGAGGCTGCCTATAAAGCACACCATTCATACTGGGAGCTGTAATGAGAAGCACTCCAAGCGCCAAAGGCAAAGCCAAGGGSTAACAGCTCCGAGGACAAAAGGAGCTAAGCTAAGTCGGTAAGGATTTCTTTTAAATCCCTCCTGCACATAAAACCTTGGCAAGAAAAGCCAAAGATTGCATATTCACGGTTCTCAAGCTGTTCCAGATGCCCTAAGCAGGCCACTCACCTGCAAAGGGTGAAGCTACTCACACAGATATCAATCATGCCAGCTAATTAARTGTTTCAAGTTAATTTGGCAGTAAATAAAAGAAAGGAAGATTGACCTCCAATATTTCTAGTCCCTACTCTCTCCTCCTAAACAGCACATCTGTCTCTTGTCCATAGTATTATAAGCTTTCTTTATCCTATCAGGGAAAACCTCCCACTGATAAGGACCATGTCCTCCCACATTATAACTCATTTGGTTGATGTTCAATGGAAGTATTATAACAGCAACTGCAAATCTATCATCTTAAGGGTACATACAAGTAAACACCAATCCTGTGCAAWTTCTTAAGAATTTACCACTGACATTTTGAAGCCAAAACACCCAAATCAATTTTCAAAATATGGAAATTCCTCTAAAGTTCTGAAAACAAGAGTTAGAAGTGATGTGGGAAATGCTGGCCTTCAGCCAAATTAGAAAAGAAATATTTCACCAGCCCCATAGGTTCATTAGCCTAGTTCTGCTATAAATTTTATTAGGAGTTATTATTGATTCATAGCCATAAACACACCAGCTAATTAAGAAAAGTTGAGATCTTTGCCCAGAAGTTTTCAGAGTCCCAAATCCTATACTTGGAAAGACTTGTGCTTTTACACTAGCACTTTTACATCTGGATGCAGACCCCATTCATTTCAACTACATCAGCCAATTCATGTTTCTAATTTCAGTTGTTCCTCTTGACCCTGAGTAACACATGCACCTTCTAAACTGTCCTTTGATTTGTTGAAGTCACATGTGCTCTYGGGATGATACATGCAGTCATATTCTGCATAAATGGACAGAGATGATTAACTACTGATGCTTGGGAGATTACAGGCTTAAGTGATGTACGATCACTTACAGTCGCCTGAGAGCTAATTGAGCRAGGAGAAAAACAAAAGCCAATGATTCTCTTTGGGTTTCAAGTTACTAAAGAAAAAGCTCAGAAAAAAAATCATTTCTGAATCAAAAAGAACTCAACAGTAACTTCTGAATGTGTTGAAAAAGATCTCCTTTGGGAAGGAGGGCTTAAAAAAATATTCCAATACAGTTCAAATTCAGTCATAATACTTTTGAACATAATTTAGTCTTGCAGTGTAATTCTGTTTCAAACACATTCCTGAACAGTAGCAAAATTAAGAAATGCATCAGAAAAAATCTAATTCATCCCTCTCTACACTACCAAGACGAATAATGCACTAAGCTGTGTCAGGTGAACACAGGTGAACAGTGCTAGTGCAGGTTGCTACAGCATCAAGCTGCTGCATGAAGTCCAGAATGAACAGGTTCAGTTTAACATGCCATACCTGAAGGGAAGTGCCAACTGTACAGGCCACATCTTCTTTAACCAAAGCTGCATAGGAGTGAGGATAGCGAGAGGGACACAGCTGATGACTTGGTACAATTCGGCCATAAAAAGAAGACTGGATACTGATGGTGGTTCTGTGAGGGCATCTCAGGGAAATGTACTCTCCATCGCAGGCATGGTCGGTGTAATTCTTTAACACTTGTGATATATAACCTGTCAGAAACATGACAAGAAACACAATTAGTGACAGGAAGTTAATATTTAATGCAGCAAAGCAAACACACGACTAACAATGAGAGGAATAGATTTTACAGCCATCTCACACATGAAGAAAAAGGTGGAGGAGAAAGCGAAAGAGATGGGGAGGTGAACTGCTCTGGCTTTCAGACACGTTATATCCTTAGAGGAACTAATATTCAGATATTCCTAACTTATTCCAGTCATATCACTTATTTACATTGGCATACCCATCAAGTATACAGGAAATGCTGCTGAGCCAGACTCATCATATAGATTGCATCCAGATACTGCATCCAGTCTGGGGCCTCACGGTAAAAGAGAGACATCCAAGAACTGGAACAAGTTCAGCAGAGGGCCACAATGTGGGGGACTGGAGCACTTCTCACCCTGTGAGAAGAGGCTGGAGGAGATGGGCTTGTTCAGCCTGGAGAAGAGGCAGCTTTGGAAGAAGCTTTAAGCATCCTGCCTGGGCCTGCAGGGAGGTTATTGAGGAAATGGAGTCAGGTTTTTCACCGTGGTGTATCATTATCACAGGAGAATGATAAATAACATAAGTTGAAACATTAGAGATTGAATATAGAAAACGTTTTTCACTGTGAGGACACTATAGAGCAGAAGCAGGTTCGTGATGGAGCAGGTTGCCCAGACAGGGTGTATAGTCTCCATCTTAGAAGGTTTTCAAGAAAAAGACCCAAAAAGCTTCAACATTTAAGCTTCAGGGATGAAGGCTGTGTTTCTTTTTTGTCTAGATTTCAGGCTGTGCTCCTCATTTAACAATTAAATTGTTGCAGTGCCTCAAGGTGCGTGCCAAATAGCTATTCACTCAGATCAACATACTAATTTCCAAATCCCYGGGGCAACATTTGCTTTTAAGACAAAGACTGAGATGCAGCCCCAATAATTACAGCAAGTGACAGAGCTGCAGCAGATCAACAAACAGCATCATTTAGTTTAGTGTCTATATATCACTTGTTCAAGGAAGTGCTGTAGGTATAAAATGAGCTACAAGAGGGCATTTTCTTTTCCAGTGAGTAGAATACGTGCTCTGCACAGTGCTATTCACTTAGTCTGAAGTCAGATCAGCAATTCTCCCTCCAAAGAAAAGCAACAAGATGACCATTAGGAAAAGCAAACTACAAATGAAAAACAGACTGTAACCCAAAATGTTAAACTAAGCTTTCCATGCTGTCACACCAGTGCATTAGGATTCTCCCCTAAGGCTGGCCTATTAGGGAGGCTGGGAAATCCAACCAAAGTGTAGTAAAGGCTCCTCTGTCTCCTGTGAATATTCAATTATTCTATCAGAGCAGTCATCCTACAGCATGCCTTGCATGTTACCAATTCAGAAGAGAGAAAGCTTCAATCCCTACAGTTACTGCAGACCAGTTACTACTGGAACAACTCCATCCTCTCTTTTCCATCAGAAATCTCAGAATAACTAGAGTTTGTTTAATTTCAAGATACGGAAGGGCCTGAATGCTTTGATGGTGACGAGCTAGTGATAAGCAAAGCATAATGTCTGAAATACCTAGCACTGGTCACTGTCAGAGAGGAGACACTGGGTTAGACATGGTCATGATCAGGGATGACAGAAGGGTCTTCAAAGAGCAAAAGTGACTGGTTGGAAAGAATTAATGTTTTCTTCTGTTTGAATATGTCAAACTAGCACTATATTCATTACTACTTTGAAAATATTTAAAATCTATTTCTGTGTATCAAATGCTCTTTATTAATTGAGATATGAGCTAAAACCTTGCAAGTGTCCACTCCAGATACAGATAAAGCAGGCTTTTATTAAAGTGAGTTAAAGGAAGATTCCATTCTTTTCTTCATCCTCAAATTCTAGGATGTGAAATCAACATTGTCAGATTCAGCAACCACCCCCCTGCTGTACTGACACAGTCAAATCTGCTCTATTGTGTCTTAGTTTATCTTGAGGTGGAAGTGACATCAATTATTATGATTTTATAAGTTCTTGGTAGTTCACTCATTATTCTATCATCTGAGGCGGACAGCAAGTTGGTGACAGATTTAGTCCTTCTTTACAAAAAAATATTTCTTATCCTCAAAATCCTGAAAACCTCTAATAACATTTCAAGAAAACTCAAAGGCTTTTAATGGYCAAATGAACTATTACACATATTTGAAGGCAGAGAAGTTTATTAATATCTGCACCAAACCACCTCTAAGCTGCAGTAATGTGCCATTTTAGCATTCCTACTTGGAAATATAGAACAGTTTCCCATTTTCTGGAACACAAAAAGTCAATGCAATTAACCAGGTCAGTTGATTGAAACCTTATCCTTGCTGGTTGGAACATATCCTTTTATTTTAGTTCTTTTTTTCCCCACGATCTACGTTGTTTTTTAAAATATCAACTGTTGTTTTCTTACAGGTATTTTTGAGACACTGAATGTGAAAGAGAACTTTCTTCCGGGAGAGGCTTTAATCAAACACCTTCCTGGAGCTCAAACACCAGACTTCTTCAGATAGGCTTTGAACCATAGCATTCCAGCTTATTCGTTACATGCAGAACACCAGACCAGTAACTTCTCCCCACAAACGGTGCAAAGCCAGTGGMACAGTGTAACACATCACTGGGATAGGCAAACAGGCCTGGAAATGTGACCCCAGGCAGGGCTTCAAGCCAGAGCAAGTAAGTGAATGAAAGCATTTCATACCAGGCATTACTGATAATCCTGTGGTTGCAGTAGTAAAAGCAGCTCTCTCAAATCACACAGCAGCCTAGTAAGGACAAGCGGGGTTTGTTTTGCTTTGGTACTAATGCTGGAGATTAAAACTTGCTCTTGCAAACCACCTACAGAGAGATAGGCTTTCACTTCAGCTTCTCCCCAGCTATTTGTCTTTTAGAAATGAAACAGCATAGGAAAAACTTCAAGAACCTGTGAGCATATTTGTGAAAAACTTTTATTCGGCGTTTAAGTCATTTTCTTGCCCATTATCTGATCTCTATGGCCACTGTGGCCTCAAACAGCACCCAGCGTTAAGACAGAAAATCTGGTTTCAAAGTGAGAACAAATTTAGAACTGCAGCTAAGTGCCAAATTTCAAGCCTAAATAAGGTAACATTTTGTGAATGCCAAGCATTATGTCAAAGATATTCCTAGTTTTCTGTAAGGATGAGAATATATTAGAAATTAGACTGGTAAGGATAAGGGATGATTAGTGTTAAGGTACAATAGTTACCAACTCTGCCCACCTGAATCCAACTCAGACCACTAGTGAAAACTGATCCCCTTAATCTTTCTGACTAAGCACTTCTACAGAATTTAATAAAAGTTTATAGCCCTTCCACAAGTTGTTGGAAAGAAATGGTCTAGCATGGGACAGCTGATGAAACATTTGCCAACCATTGTCCACTCTGCCTAAACTGCATGGAAGTTGCGCATTAAGCAGCGCACAGATCTTGAAGCAAATCCAAAATAAAATCCAAATTTAATCCTTCTCACATCACACCATCCTCAGCAATCAAAGTTTCCTGTCTTTATGCCTAGGTAGAAAAAATGAAATATTGCTGCTTACTGTAAAGCAAATACAGATTACAGGTTAGCTAGTCAAGCCCTCCTGGAAAAGGAAGGGATCCAACTTTTTGTGGAATGAAAAATTCCAAGAAGCTTTGAGTTCAAGATAATATATCTAAGAAAATTAAAAACACAATAATAAAACTATTTGCATTTGTTTACCAGAATTAATGGTTCCTTTTTGAACTGTGGTATGAAAATAAAATTACAAAAAAAAAAAATCAAAAATGTCACCTCAAAAAGAAGCAAGCTTCTTTCTAGCCAGAAAATGAAACCTTGCTGCAGCAGGCAGGAAACATAAATGCTGTTGCAATCCCATTTTGCAGAAAGGTAAAAGCTTAGGTGGGAAATGTTTGCAGTCTTAACATGAATGGAGCAATAATCCATCCTGTTTTTATGATGACTGCTATGACAAACTGAAGTCACGGTGCTGGAGCAGACAGTGACAGATGCTGTAGGAGGAGGAAACATAAAAGCATTTGAAGAAGTCGTCACCCCCTGCTTTAGGCTTGCTTGGGAAGTGACAMCTCATTGAGTGGTGACAGCTCTTGGTAAGGTTTCTAATGGAGAAATATTTGTCTTCTAACAGACACTGAAAAAAAATCTTCCAGTCAGGTTATGTGCTGATTTCTACAAACAGGGACACAGAGAACAGCAGCACAGCTGCTGCCCAGGGGTACAGGACTCAACAGGGGTGCAGGGGAAGAGCAGCACAAGAATTTCTGTTAAAAACTCTGCATGTGTATGTGTGCATTTTTATATTATATATACAGAGATATACACACATATATGAAATACATACACAAATAAAAATAATAATACTTTCTAAAAAAGCTTTGCACAATATTTTCCCAAGTTTAAGTTATGGGAGAAGCTCAAACCCCACTATTACCAAGGAATTCATTGTTTGTGGTACTAGCTTTCTCATAATACTGTGTAAAAACAATGTTACAGCATTATAAGTATTAATATTTATTAATATATTGCATTAATTTTCAGTTGTTTTAATTGGTATAATTTGCATTAGTATGTATTGTGTGTTGATTATATACTATTGTATGTGCAATACACTGTATATAATATGTAAAATATATTATATTATAACCCAAGGATAATTAACAGGTCAACTTGGGAAGCCTTAAGAGGCTTGTTCAGTGTGCAAAGAATGAATGCTGCAATCTTGGGAAGGGTTTAGTGTACACTTCTTAGAGCCCATGAGACCAAATCCACGCACTAAAAGCAAAACMGGCACCACCTCATTCGAGAGACAGGACTGCATTAAGTGTTAAGGTCAACGCTTTATGGMCTCAAGAACTACATGGGTGATACTTAGTGAGCGGTTTCTCCTGGTTCTTTCTCCTTGGTTTTCAACCCAGTCCTTTCTGAGACACAGCCATGGCACATGTTATTCACAGCACTGCTCACTGGTGGC